AACGAAGGGCAGAGTTAGTTACAGCAGTGACATTCAAGTGCCAGCATCTGTAATTAATAAACAAGGTGGCATCAAGTATAACATAGTACTCTCTCAAGATGGACCAATGCCAAGAACAGCCATTCTCAGAACTATTGTACTTCTGTTTCCTCATGATTTGAGGTATTAGCACTACGTGTCCCCAGGCAGTGTGGGAAGCTAGGCTTCTTAGAGCAGTTTGGGGTTCCACATTAGTTTCTCTCCCAATATTGTCTGCAAATCATTTAAATAATGGTAAGTGGTATTTGCCATCATTCTTCAAAGACACTGGTTGTTTTCACTATGAATGCAAGCTAAATAGTTTATTGATCTTCTTTCTAGAAACCAGTAGTTTACAACTTTATGTGTGCTCAGAATCACCTGAGATAACCTTTTAAAGCTTCATCTTTCTCACTCAACCGTAGAGATTCAGGGTGTGGCTCAGGACATTACAACTTACCAAGCTCCGTGTGTGGCTCTGAAACAGCTGGTCCACAGGCCTTTGCCCGAAAATGGTGGGGAAAGAGTCGGGGTACCTTCCTAAAATCCTGGACCGAGAGTTCAGGCAGCGCCTGGGAGAACATCTGTCATCATCCACTCCATCCTTATTTCAACTCCTCCTAAGAACCAGCAATAGACAGCTCCTTACAACTGTACAGATAGAGGTTCCCACAATGCAGTGCAGCCTGGCCACCCTGGTCATCAGTGACTACAGGAGGAGAGGGGATTGAATTTTCTGACATAGGTCTATCCCTCTCTAGCTCTTTAACTTCCCTTCTGTACCCTCTTCTTCTTGCCTCCCATTTTGTACTTCATAATCGCCCTGTGGGGAATTTATTCTTCTTCAAGAACAGCTATCCAGTCTTTGAAGATTCTTCTTTTAAAGACCTTTTCTTATGGTACTACATGATTTTCATTATTGAGTTAAAAAAGTAAGTGAAGATTGTCATATCAGTAAGGTCTAGAGGTGCAGTAATGTTATTTAAAGCTAAGTGCATCACCAGACCACAGTTACCACTGGTGCAGACTGGACTTGCTGATGGGGACATATCAAAGTGATGGACAAAACCTTGAGGAGAAACAGAGTATTTGCATAGACTCCTTGTATCTCCTACAGGTGATGAATTACAAAATAGCAAATAGTAGCTTTGCTATGGAAAACCCCTACAGACACTTCCCTAACCCCATGATCAGGTCAGCACCACCAGTAGAAAGATCTATTGACTTGTAGCAATGTGTACTGTCATGCACATTGCTCCTGTGGGGTTCTTTGCTATCATGAGTGAGTTCAGCCTAGTCAGGAGAAATTTTTAGTCTTTTTACAAAATACTTGACAATATCCTTGAAGTGTCCATGTCATAGTGCACAAGCAAAGCCTGAGGAACTGTCAGAGGTTAGAGGACACTAAGCTTTGGTAGCTAAATGCTACATGAGGTCCAGGTTTAGGTTTTAGAACAGAAAAGGAACATTGCTGGAAATTTTCCTATAAAATCTTAGAGTTCAGGGACTGGGGAGATGACTCATTTGGCTAAGTGCTTGATATACAGGCAGAATGACCTGAGTTCAGCTCTCTAGCACCCAAGTCCAGTGGTTGTAATCCCAGCACTGGGGAGGCAGAGACAGGCAGATCATTGGAACTCACTGACCAGCTAGTCTAGCCAAATTAGTGCTCTCCAGGCTCAGCGAGAGACTCTGCCTCAAAAAATAAGGTGGAGAGTGAAGAAAACACTCACATCTACCTCTGACCTCTACAACAATTATGCACCAACTCCGTACCACACACACAAAGTTTGGACTAGTCAGTACCTGTTACCATGACTACTGGTTTCAAGTACTGTAGGGCTGTTTCACCACTTAGCTTGTGCTTTGAGTAACATGTTGACATGCGCGAAAGCTGACTGGCATGTGGGAGCCTATTACTTTCTGCCCCTTTTCTGAGTGTAAGTTCTCAGCTAAAGTAGGTGGAAAGCATACACTTGGTGTGTGTGTGTGTGTGTGTGTGTGTGTGTGTGTGTGTGTGTGTGTGTGTATGTATGATATCTCCATGCAGCCAGCATCTTCACAGGTATCTCCTTTCCCTAGGCATTTTCATGTTCTGGAAAATTTCATCATTTGTTAATTGGTCCGTTTGTGGGCAGAGAGAGGTAATGCAGTTTTTTTTATATGTTGTGAATAATATTTTAAGAGTCTCGGTGAACACCCATCTCTCATTTCAAGAACAGAGCAGTAGAGTGAACCGCACACCTGGTATTCCCTTTCTCTGTGGTGCCCTGCACTTCCGTTCCCTTTCTGCCACCACCACAGAACTGCTGCCACCTGGAGCTCATCAGCAGCTTGTTACTTACTAGTCCTTTTCATCATTGTGCACTCTCCCAGGCCACATAAATTGAATTCTAATGTACTTTTTGCTCATTTGAATGTACACGCTTAATTCTTTTTCTGTGCTGTATAATTTTCCACTGGATGAATGCCCCGTATTCATCCTTTCTCCCATTGAAATATATTGAAGGCTTTTGTTTTTGCTTTTGGATGAATGGCTGATGTATTAGAAGGCCAAAGATCTTCAGAACTTCACTAACACACCATCCACACATGTGTTGTGATCCTTCCTTTTCTTTCATATGAGGTGGGAATTTTCTTGGGGATCTAATTTCCCTGGATGGACATTATTGGAATAACAAGGATCTAGTGTTAAATTAGTAAGTAAATGTTTAAATTAATGAAATACTGCCTACATATCTTAAGTATGTTTGTGTTTATTCCTTTAGTAGGTGTGTAGTATTACTTCCTTCGGGTGTTTTATTGTTAGAAATATGTATGTAATGTGGGAAACTGGTCACTGAGGTCGAGGTGTGGAGCCAGATTAAAGCATAAAGCTTTATTCTGAGAATCCTATGGTCAGCTTGAAGCCCATGTAGGTTCAACTTGCTTGTTTAACATGCCAGGAAAATTTTGACATAGGCAGTATCATCATTTTACCTGCGTTTGGCATCGCAAAGGGGAGGGGAACTCAGTGATTTATACAATGGCAGAAATATTGTTTTATTCATTAATCTTGTTAGAAAATTGTGTTATTTTTGAGCATTTAGAATTTGTGCCCAGAGTAGAATTACCCAAATTAGTTATTTTCCTCCAAAATTAATTTATGAGGATGTTGGTCTCACTGTGAAAACGTTGCCCAGCTTCATAGCCCTCTTGCCTTTCTTGATTTCTGCAGCAGCTTGGGTCGAAATAAACAGTGCTAGTTATCATAGATACTTCAGAGGTCGTAAAAACTAGAGAGGAAGCTGGGGAAGGTTGAAAGGACCTAGAACAGAACCTTTCACCCCAATCCTAGCCAGATGTTGTTGTTTTAATCATTTAAAATAAGTGAAAGTGTTAATCCTGCTGTTACTGCTTGGAAGCAGTCAGTTCAGTGGGTAACGCCCACTTGAAGGTGGGTCTCAGTGACGTGTGACCCAGGGCCTTCTCTGCACTGTCAGTGAGAGTTTGATAACTGCCTTTGTTGTTGCTCTCTTTGTTAAAAAAGCTTCCAAGAAAAGCTTAAGCCAAACATGGCAAAAGAGCGTGTGAGAGTGATGGGTGTTTTTAGGGGAAGGAAGTCCTATAAGTGAAGCAGATAGGGAGCTGTGACATAACCTGAAGCTACAGTATCTTGAGAAGACAAATGGCTTTTTGATCGCTTTAGACCTACCGATGAATTAAAATCTCTCCACTTGTAGACGAGTGCCACTGATCATTCAAATTGCACTTTTTAAAGATGCAGAGGCAGTGTACTTAGGATACTGTCTTCATGTCAGAAATGAACCTTTGTACTTGAAAATGATAAAAAATTACAATCAATCCTTACAACTGTTCTGTTCATCTTTATTGATCAGGTGCAAGAAAGATAAATCGTAGCCCAAATAAGATTATAGTAAATGTTAGCATCATAGGGGACAGTACTTGATAGAGAGCCATTCATCATCTCAGATGGTGACCTGTCCATGACTTCAGCCACCCTGAGTCTGCTGTCTAATCACATACCTATTGATTTTATCTACATCCTAGAAACCTGGATTGTTAAATGCAGAGGGGTCGCTAGTGTGAGACATTTTCAGTTTCATTTTCCCACCAACCAATGATGATTTATTAAAAAATAAACCACCCCAAGCCATGCACACGAAACCTGCATGATTAGGGAGCAAAGGCACACAACAGGGCATTGTATTTTGTTGTGTTCTTCTGCACTGCCCTGTGTTTTTCAGGATATTTCATTGAGTCTGGGGGCTCCTGGGTCATTTATGCAACTCCAGACTGGTTTCAAAGTAGCTAGTCAGAGTGGATCATTTTCAGCCCTGCTGCCCCGGGAAGGCATCGCTTTGCCACTCCAGCTTGGTTTACATTGTTCAGGTGTTCATGTAATAATGCCTCCATTTTTTACACTAAAGTGACAGAGTCCGCCTTTTCATTCCTACTGATTGTTACAAATGTTGATGCTGTTTTAGTCATGTGGAGACGACAGAACAAATTCTGTCCCATAAAGTTCCACTATGAAACCAAAATATTGTGCAAAGGACAGCCCTTTAACATCCTAGTTGGAGCACTGGGAAAATGAGAGTATGTGCAGATTTCATTGTTGGAGCTCGTGGAGCCTTTGATTTTGCAGTGGTAGAAACCAAGTTTCATAGATCTACATCATCTTTCAAAAATGTGTTAGGAATTTTCTCAGAAGCATCAAAAATGATGACCATCTACTCTGTAGTTACAGTTTTTACACAAAAAAGTATGACCATCTGCTGTGTAGTTACAATTTTTATACTAACAGCGCTACTGTATTTGACTGTACTGTATTTGTACATCTTTTTCTGTATGTATGCCACTAAGTAAGGAATCGCTCTACTTACTGAGTTGCTGAAGCAATGTTGGTTTTATTTTTTGAAAGATAAGTCTTTCAGACATCTTGCCTTCTTACATAGTGAAAACTTTGTCTTTGTCCACAGAGCTCAGAGTTCTACAAAGTCACCACTGAGGAGTATCAGAAAGCTGCTGAGGAGGTAGAGGCCAAGTTCAAGTGAGTCTTCATACTGTCATATGTTCTTACTGTTCCAGAAAAATGAAAGCATGCTTGTATTGGCTTTTGCATAGAGAACTGCTGGGTGGATTGGAGGATACTTGGAAGTGTTTGGATTGGTCAGGATGTGGCAGTGTTTTCTGCTATACTAGAACATTTGATGAAAGCTTGTTGCAGCTCAATCTATTTTATGAACCAAGAGAAAAATGAAAGCAGTGGTAAAAGAATTTTCATTTGAAATAGTAAGTATGATAGAGCGCCCTTAATTATAAAGGTCATATTAAATTGCTACATTTATTCATGGAAACATGGAAAACATTCATGTTTGTATAGTAAAATGGTGGACATGTCCAAATTTGAATATCCACCTTTCTCATATTTAAACTTTTTATTTCTTAACATGTACCTTGAACACATTTAAATCATAGACTTTACCTCGACCTTGATTATGAAGGTGATATTAAATTGCTACTCTGTTAATACTTGGGATGTCTAAATGAATGTTATGTAATTGATGGATCCAAGTGTCCATGACCCATAGCCATATACGTTCTCACATTGCGTGAGGAGACATCATTCAGATATTTTCCCCAATATATAAGTGATCCTATTGTATAACCCCTATTAGTAGCACATGTGCAAATTAGTGAAGCAAAAAAAGGTGTTGTGACAACTTTAGTTAAAAGATTGCATTGGACTTTGACCTCCTTCCTTGTACATGTTTATAAGCATTTAATAAAACGATTAAACCTTAAGGTAGAATTATTAGTTTCTGCTTCAGTGCAATTTGTATCGTAATGGATATTAGTGTTACTTTAATGTTGATTAAAATAATATTTTTTAAAGGTGGTCTGAGGTATGTTTAAATAGCTAAAACCCTTTGATTTTCCTTAGCAAAATTATTTTTAGAGGATAGTAGAGAACAACAGTGAGTCACAAATCAGTCCCCCCCCCTTTGTCTGTCAGTCTGTCAGTCTCTCTCTTTCACCTCTCTCCTCTGTTTTCTCCCTCCCCTCTTTCCACCCCTCCACCCCCCTCACTCCTACCCCCTCGGTAGAGCCTTGTGTTATGAAGCAGAGGCTGGCCTTAAATTCCTCATTCCACCTGCCACAGTGTGGGATTATAGGCTGAGCCACCACATTTGGCTACAAATCTCACTCTTAAAGATCAGTATGAGATCTTAACAATTTAGATAAAGGGCTAGGGAATGTAGCTCAGTTGGTGGATTTCTTTCCTAGCATGAATAAGGCCCTGAGTTTCATCACCAGCACCTCATTAAATGAGGTCAACCTGAGCTACATGAGACTCTTTTCAAAAACAAAGAATTTAGATAAGGAGTTGGATAGCAAACTGATATTAAAAATTCTATACTTACATATTTTTTATATTATTGCTTTATTTATCTTTTCCCCTAATGTTAGAGTAACATTTTTTAAAACCTTATCAGTATACCATGAGAACCTTTGAGTTGACATCCTGGATATTTCTTCATTATAAGATAATAACTGTAAAAGTAACTAAAATGTAAGATGAGTTCAGACTACAATGATCTATGAAGTTTTCATAAAGATGGCATTTGGGTGTTATTGAAAGGTAAGGAGTAGGAAGAAGAGGAAGATGTTCAGAAGAAAATGAGGCTGTGTAGTTGGTGAGTGACAACCTTAGTGAAGATCCATGGCTTGACTTGCAGGGTCTAGCACAGATAGAGCTGCAGAGGTCACTGGGGTCACCAACTGCCAGGGTAAAGTTTGGTGTTCATTTAGAAAGCAGTCGCTAGTGAGCAGGTGTGCACCCTGATCTAGTGCTCTGTGAGAGTAGTAATCTAATGGTGGGTGTGAGCTTTGGTTGAAGGCATAAGGAACAAGAACCAGAATTTCCAGGTGGGAGCTCCTAGCAAGTGAGATAGAAGATTGGTGCAAAATTGTTATTGAAAGATTAGGTGTGGGTTAGTAACTGGCTAATGGATAAAGTTGTCAGATCTGCCAAGTACAGAAGACTGAATGACTTAAACAGCAGATTTGTTGTCTTAGCAGATGGAGGCGGGACATCTCAAATACAAGAGCTGCAGGGTGAGATTCTTCTGAGGCCTCTCTTTATGGTCTGTACATGGCAGCCTCCTCTTGTGCCCAATCTCCTGTGTATATCTTCTAGTCCCTGTAAAACCAAGCAAGGACACCAGTCATTCTGGAATAGAGCCCACCCTCATCCTAAAACTTAATTATCTCTTTAAAACTTTAAATGCAGTCAAATTTTGAGGACTGGGTATCAGGGTTTTAGCATACAAATTAGAGGGAGAAAAAGACACAGTTGAGTCCATAGTTTTTGGATAGAAGGAACAAAACAACCAAAATGTCTAGCAGATTAGAAAATCCATATGATTTTTCTAGAGGAAAATGTCTGTTTTTAAAATATTTTTATTTTATGTGCATAAGTGTTTTGCCTGCATGTAAATGCACCCATGCATTCAGTGCCCATGGAGGTCAGAAGAGGGTGTTGGATCCCCTCGAAATGGAGTTATAGAAGGTTGTGAGCTGCCATGTGGGTGCTGGGAATTGAACCTGGGTCCTCTGCAAGAACGGCCAGTGCTCTTAACTGTTGAGCCATCTCTCCAGCTCCAAAATGTTTTTCGATGAGAAAATCTCTACTGAAGCCCTACCTCGCCATCCTGCTGCTCAGCCAGGCTTGACTAATGGAGTGAGATGAGGGAGTGCAGAGCACAGTATGAATGTTCTGTGTAGACAGTGTGGACCTGTGGGTTCAACACTTATAAGCAGAGCCTCAGTAGCATCATTCTCTCTTACTATTCTGGCGTCTTATTCTTTATAAGATCCTGTTGTCATCCAGCCCAACTGAAGAGTAAGGCTTTGCCCTTGCCATAGACACATCTGGATTTACACTGGGCTCCTAGACGTAGCTTCAAGCCTTGGAATTCTGCACATAGTAGAAATTGTTGTTTGTTGTGGGCACCTCAGCTGATGTGGTATCAGGGTGGTAGGGTGCCAGAGATTGAACTACGAGACCCCAATGAACCTTGGCACACTCAAGCAGGGGTGAGGGCTCCTTGTTGGCGTTGCTGCAGGTGGACCACCAAATGCAGCTGTCAGCCGGATAATTGTCCTGGGGCTAATATCCACTCTGCATTTGGAACCTACCCAGACTGCATCCCTTCCTCTGATGAATTTTCTGTTGTTATTTCCCTGTAGTGAACCATAACTGACTTAACTTTCAGTAAGTTCTCTGAGACTTTTAGTGAATTATTGATCCTTTAGGATGGACAGTTTAAGAATCCTTCCAAACATTGTTTGTGGGTAGTCTGTGGGATGTTCCCTCAGACTATACTATTTGGTCAACTCAATATCAACACATGCCCAGGTTTCACATATTGTGAAGAAGTTCCAGGAGTTAATGTTTTAGACTGAGCTCTCCTTACATCTGGAGCTTTCCTTTACCCTGCCCCCCATCTCTCTCTCCTCTCTCCTCTCCTCTCTCTCTGAACCTGCTAGATGGAACATCCCAAAGTGTGCTGTTTTGATTTGCAGTGTGTTCCATTTACTATAAAAGAGGTTTACCATCTTCAAAGAACAAAGTTTACTTAGAACTGTATCAGTTACTTTTCTGTTGCTGTGATAGAAACTCCATGACCGAGGGAACTTATAAAAGGAAGATTTTATTTAGCTTACAGTTCCAAGGGGGCAAGAGTCCATCATGAAGGGGAGGCATGGCAGCAGAGGTGGCTGGAGTAGGAGCAGAAGCTAAGCTCTCACATCTTCAGGTAGGCACAGGAAGCAGAGTGCTACTAGAAATCTGGCGAGGCTTAAGAACTGCCTAAGCCCACCCTCAGTGAAGTGCTTCCTCCAGCATGGCCACACTTTCTAAGACCTCCCAAAATAGCACCACCAAGTGGGGACAAAAATGTCCAAATACTTAGAGCCTATAGGGTACATTCTCATTCAAACTATCATGAACTCTGTGTCCCCTTAGAAAATTGACCATCCCAGAAGATCATGACCATCTTTTCCAAAGCAATATTCTGTATTCTTTCTGTTATGTGACAGAACTATCTTGACTGGCCAGATTAGTCTGACTGCTTTCTGTCTGCAAGCAGATGCTTGAAACTCTGACCATCTCGAACTATAAATTGCAATTTTAAGGGAAATATTTTACACAGGAGAGGAATTCACATTGTCACCATAAAAAGAAAGAAAGTGTAAATCATTTGAGGCAGCACATCACTAACATCTCAGCGTGGGTGCCTTCTGCCTGGACAGTCCAGGGTAAGACCAGGTACTACTGTAGGGGTCATACTTCAGTCTGTCAGACTGAGTTTAGACAGCAAATCATTTGTGAGCACATTAGAATTAGTGGGGTATCTGTTTTCCTGCCTCATCTGCGTGGGATTTGTTTCAGAAGCTCCTGTGTGGTACCGTGTTCTACATGATAGTTAGGACAGGCAAGGTCTTACTACTGTTCAACTTAGACTGTATTACAAAAGAACAAATGGGTGATCAACTTGTCAAATGACGATCATTTCAAAGATCCCAAGTTTTACAGTGATAAGAGATATTTGATTTTTTTTCCCTTCAAACATTTTCCTTCACAATGGCTTTAAATTTATAGCTATAAAACATAAATTGGGGCCTGGCAAGATGGTTCAGCAAGTAAGGCACCTGCCATCAAGCCTGACAGCCTGAGTTCAGTTCCTGGAACCTATATGGTGGAAGGAAAGAACTGACTTCTGCAAGTCCTCTGGCCTCCTTTTAAAAAATATTATTTATATTTTGCATGAATATATTGCTTGCGTGTGTGTAAGTGCACCTGTGTCCTGCAGTGCCCACAGAGGTTTGTCAACACTGCCTATCATATTTATCACAACGAGTAGTACCTCCATCTGCAATAGAGAGCAACTTATAATGCTAGTTTATGGTGCTGGTAACATTGCTTCACATGAATGAAAACAGTGTTCTATATTGAGCTTTTTGTTCTACCCGATAGTTTATTGA